GTATTTTTCAGGTAAATGATACAGGAAACCATAGCAGTGTTGACTCTTATTCCAAATTGTGACTCAATTAACAGGGTGAGGTTGACAGTCAAATCCTCATTTGAATTAGATTGTTAATGTGATTATAACCCAAATTTCAACATGATAAACCAAACTGATTTAAGATTTTCTAGCACACGTAACCCTAACACATAACCATCGGTAATTAACCACGTAGATAACCAAATGTAAGTAATTCAGTCGCATTACTTTTAGTTCCCTTCCGGATGCCTACATGTGTCAGCGTAAACATGGCTTTAACTTGGAGGTCACATGCTAAGACAGAAGCAGAGAGGACAGAGCCTATAAAAAAGGAATATACTGCCTGTCCTAAATGTACTAAGTACACAGTAAGTGAAACAATTCTCTTGCTGATAATGCTTTAATTAAAAGCAATCAGATCGTCACAAAAATAACGGCTGCATATATGTAAACTTAAGAGACCCAGCTCTACAGGCAGTGAGAGAAAAAAGGCAAACGTCTGTGTGCCTGCGAACGTGTGCCATTCCTTAAGGCGCTCTGACGATGCACACCTTAGTCTGTGATTTCACCGCCTCAGGTTTCTCAAACCACCCTTCAACTGCAGTTATTCCTGCAGGCTTCAGGTGGAGTGAAAGTTCTCACTGAGTTGTCTCTGGCTCCGTGAAACGACTTTTCCTCATTTTAAGTTTAAAAACACTGAGTGAATAGAGTCCTGCGCGTCTTGCCACACGCAGACCTCTGTGCTGCTCTGCAAGCGCGCAGGCGGCCTGGGACCTGGCCATTTATTACTAAGGTGTCTTTCAGTAAACAGGAGAGGCCTGTCTGCCCAAGCTGTAACATAGGAGAATGGCTACTATAGTGTCATAACAAAACAATATTCTTTAACCAACGATCGGAATAGCACAGACTGAAAAAAATGAGACTAGAATCGCAGCATAGGATTGTGCTTAGAATATGGTGCTTTAATATTTGAGTAAACAGATTTTGGACATTCCAGTTAAACCATGTAGCACCTCTGAAATACTTTCTAGAGACGTATCCCATTTCTGATTACACAGCTGAATATTTGTTAAGCATGATTATGTACAGAATTACTCTGATTAGATAATTATATACCTTTTGCCATAAGTTTCCTCTTTTGATTACCCCTGCAGGGCAGGGATAGCCATGAATCTCTCGGATGCGCGATACTTATTTTTGTGAATATGTTTCATGGATGTCTTCTGAAATAGTCACATCTTGGTGATGGTTTGTTTTAATACTCAGCTCACCCCTGCTGTTCCCTCTTGTCACTGTGCCTGTCATTTTGCTGACCTAGCCCTTATGTTCGGGAAGTCATCAGTTACTGTGTAATAGAAGCCTGAGGACACTCTTCCAGGGCCTTGGTGGTCCTCCACCCTCACTGCACACTTTGTGTTGGATGCTGCAGTGATTCCAGCCTTAGAGTGGGAGTTTCCTTTTGGCAATTAGTTTATTGTTGACTGTCACACAATAGGCATGTCACACAATACATGTCGGGTATAAATGAGTGAGTACACAATACTGAACGTGCCAAGCTCTCTCACACACACTCTTACAAATAAAAGACCAATGGCACTATTCTAACCACACGACGCCCTGACAACAGTCCCGGGTCTCCATATGAGAAGTAGGAGATACGCAACTTCCCCAGAAAGGAAGGGACTGATCCACTTTAAAAATCAGACATCGCGCTTGGAATTTTTTTCCTTAGGGGATCAGGTAGATTACTATACATGGAAGATGTAACAAATCTTGGGCTTTGTGGGTTTCCCTCCTCTGGTTTCACGGCTAGTTGTGAAGCAGCGGGGTAGTCAGGGAGGGGAGGCGGGCTGAGTCACAACACAGTAATCTGCTGGAGGGATGAGTCTAGGTGTCCCAGACAAGTAGCTGCTTCCATGCTTAAACCCACCGGGCAGACTAAACCCTGGGCCTGGAAGAAGCAGCACTATAATGAAACGCTGTACTCATCTAGGGCACACTGTGTTCCTCCGAGGATATCCGACATCAGTGGAAGGTTTTGAGTTGGTGAAAGAGCGCCCCCGAACCCAGCAATACCCAGACCTTTCGGGTGATCATTATGTAAAGACTCGGAGGCCGTTTGTAACGTCTGTGCTTCCTAATGCACTGTTCCCAACAGTCTGATTTCTCCTCTTGACTATCAGCCACGTACAGCTCGTACTTCTGTTTTCCCAGGTGGATTACATACACTTTCCAAGCTGATTTTCACTTGGCTGCTTCCTGCCCATTTCCAAGCTCTCCAGGACCCTTAAAGTTAATTTTTCGTTCCTTCCTGATGGGACTGCTCAGTTCGTTCATCTGTGAATGTCATTAGTGTCCTCTCTACTCTTTTACAAATTATCAAGACTGATGGTAAACAGGGCAGATTTAATGTCAATCCCTTCCCATTAAACTATCCAAGCAATTGACAAACCCCTTTTGATTACTTATCCAGAACTGCACGACTGCCTTTTGAACTGAGGAGAGGAGAAGAGTAGAAAGCTTTTGGTTTATTTGATTAAAAATCTGTTTAACCCTTCAAATGCCCAAATTGCAAAGGACTTTTCAATCGAGTCTTTCGTGTCGAGGACTGGCTCCCTGAAAAGCTGCATTAAATATGCTTCTTCCTAGCTGTTCACAGGAAGCCATGACATACTACTCTTAAACCTGAAAGGGGTTCGAATGGACTGAACACAGTGAGGCAGGCAGTTCTTTACAAATGCCACAAAAGCTCTAGAATCCAGTGAAACTCCACAGATTGCCACAGTGCACACTCCTCTCTTAGCTGTCCTTGAGTTTTCATATCAGTAAGCCAGCTTAGACAGTAAAGGCAAAGTTTTCTCCCCAGGTAGTTATTACTGAAATAGAGGGATGATAAAACAGGCAGTAGGTTGCCTCTTAAAAGCCCACTCCAGGAAATACATTCACGTTTAAACCTAAGGTAGAAAAAAATAGCCTGGAGTGGCAGGCCACAGTGCAGGTAAGATTCCGCGTGGAAGGGCCCTCAGCAAGCCTCCGTCGGTTCGCAGGCATCTGAGTAGGAGAGCCGCCCTGGGTCAAGGTGACTTTGATGAGGCACCACGGGATGACTTCCAGGTGTGTAAGGGGCAGATGGTTCTCTTCATTCCTGCAGTGTTTCTTCTCTCAGTGATCGCACCTGGTTACCTGGACACCATCCCTGACACCTCCTCTTCTGCTGCCCCTCAAACAATTACTAGTCTCTTTTTAAAAAATTTGCACACCCCACCGTCTCTCAAACCCACCTGCTTCTCTCCGTATCTACTGCAGCTATCCTAGTGCACTATAAATGGGATCTATTTTTGGTACAGGAATGTGATACCTCACCATAAAGATGATTAGCAACAAATGACTGAAATCTATAATCAGAGTATGTGGGGAGCAATTTTACATTACCTAGGACAATTCTCCATTTTTCAGATAAGGAAGCAGCCTCAGAGGGCACATATAACTTTCCCAAGATCACAGATTCAGGCAGCGGCAAAGCCTATGTCTTCTTATTCTTAGACCTGAGGTCCTCTCATTACAGCATTCTAATGTCTACACTGAACCACATTTACCGAAGGCTGCAAGAATCCCAAAAGAAAACACATTACAGATGCAGGTAATTCCATGTGTTTTAATTAAGTCCATCTCATTACTCATCAGGTGCATGACCCATCTTTACCAGTTCTTTAGCATGTTCCTAACAAGTTGTGATAAAAGTCTTGGACAAGCTCAGGATAAAAATGTGGCTTTACTGTTAAGAAAAATCTTAAAATTCAGCTCAGGGCATACAGAATTTTAAAATGTAACAAGCAAATCTTAGTACACAGAATAGTTCTTGCTAATATAGAAACCCTAAGATGGGTTTAGGAAGTGATAAAGAAAAATCTCCAGGAAGATTTATTGCTTTTGCTCTGCAACTCTCCAAACACAGGATGAAACAATGCACTTTTAATTCGATGGTTAACTGGATCCTTCGTCAAGTTCTGGTCTTGGTAACTCCCAGACGCAACCATTAACCTTGTAATTCATTTTTTAAAGATAGGTCAAATCTCATTTCAATAATGAAATATCCAAACTCCAGTTCATACTCCAGGCATTTTATGTGCTAACTATAATTTTTAAATTGCATAGTTTTAGATCTGGGAAGGACTTTTGAGACCACATAATCAAATACCATCATTATATAAAAGAAAGAACTGAGATTTCTGACAGACACAACTTTAATACAGCAAAATATCTGATAATCCTTTTGGATTAATATATAAAGAAATAGCATGAAAGCTTTCTGAATATTCTGTAAAAATGTAAATGTACTTGTTAGTCTACATATTCTACCTTGTTTGAAATATTGTGAATATATATTACTCTTAAAAAATTTTTTTTAAACCCAGAAAATTGAAAGAAATCAAGATTTTGCTACTTAATTATCTTAAGGTTTTAAGAATTTTCAAAAAAAAAAAAAGCCCAAAAAACAAAACACATTGACTGATCTGGTAAGAAAATTTCAGTACTATTACTATGAAAAAACATTACTATATACAGAGGGTTTTCCCCCTAACAGTCAAAGACACTCTCATCTATAACATAAAGAAGAAAATATCACATAGCAAAGAATAGAAAACTCTACTGAAAATAGAACAGGTGAGAAAAGATAAAGTCTATATGCAGAGAATGACTCTAAAGATTTCAAAAACATCAAACCTTATAATAATATCTCAGTGAGAAATAAAGTCTTTAATATTGTCAACATAGCTAAAGAAACCAAAGCACAGAAAGGTAAAAATTCATAAAGCCACGGCAAAAACTTAGTAACAGCCTTAAACTGAAGACTCCGTACTCTGAGATTTATATCTTAGGTAAAACTTCAAGAACTTCTTTTGTGGAAGGGACAATAGCAATAGGGGGTCACGTACCTCCTCACAACCACCTGTGCAAATAAATACACATCCACATACCTGTTGTTGTTCCGACAATTCCGACAGTTAATGCACTCCAGTGGGTCAGTCTGAGGTACCGCCGTGTACACGCTACCACCCTGGTCAGGGAGGAAGAACAGGAAACCAGAAAAGAAAAAAGTGCTTAAGGTACCATAGACCAGGAACCAGATCATCTCAAATGTAACAGCTGTGTCAACGATAAAAGATACATGGTATATTTTAACCCCCTCCCTAGCCACCTTGGGCATACCGCTGTTCACATACATTAGCAAATGAGTTCCGCACAATTTTAAAACTATACTCTCAAAACTTAACCGCCATGTTTTTTGCTTTTTTTTTTTTTTTTTTTGCACTGGAAAGAGGCAAATAAATGAAGGGAGAAGTTTAGTCACTTCCCTTCAGTGTTTCAAATCTAAGGGGCCCAAAATATACCATACGTTATAACCTCCTATTCATTTTTACTTTCCGAGCAGTCATGGAAGAATTTTATGTCATGCCAGTTGGAGAAACAGGGTGGAAATCTGTTTGAATGATGTCACAAGATAAACCCATCTTCATGTTTCTGTAATTACTTCGATGAGGTCTGTTCACTTGACTACACGAAGTTTTAAAACACACTATATTTTTCCAGATGGAGTAGATTCTCAGCCAGCAATGACTTGGAGGGGAGTATTAATATTTTGATGTTGCTTTTGGCGGAAACTGCCCAGCAATTAAGAAAAATGCCCAGATTAACACATACCTCATTGTAAAATGTTCACTTGACATATACAATGGCAAGAGTTCTTCAAAACTGAAGTTAAGAATTAAACCAGCTTATGGTCAGAGTCACAATTCTGCTTTCAGAAGGAAAAAACCCAGCAGAACTGAATTTGATAAGGGGTGGGGTGGGGGGGCTTGTCACACTGCACCCAAACCCCGAGCAGGCCTTCGAGGTTAGGAAAAGTTCAGGCAATTGTTTTCCCCAGAATACTTTCCATTTCCATTCATCTCATAACAACAGCCAGAATCTAAGCAAACCAAAAAGTACTGAGAACCTCTCTCAACATTCCTGACCCACGAGCAACAGGAATTTTTAAGAAAACATTGAGAGAAACAATATTCCTGCGCTATGTTCATAGCTTCAGAAAATGAAGTTAACAACCTACAGGGTAGTGTACTTATCTGAATCATTTTAAACATATTAAAGTTAATTCAATGATTTTGATGGTCACCAGCATTTTAAAACTTTCTCTATTTCTACCGACCCAGCAGAGAAGAGTGAGAAAATGAATGAGTTAAGATCACAGACGATAACCTCTAAAACTGCTCACCGAATGGGGCAACTATTACTTAAATAGCAACTCATTGTTCAAAAAACACAAAGTACTGTGTTTAAATACTAAAGCAAACATCGGACTTGTTTTTTCTTCTTATGGAAACAGCATGTGCTATTCAAACTTTAATGCTCTCTCTTTCAGTTTCCTGGACAATGTTAGTAGTTTGTACCAGGAATGGTGACAAAAAAAGTATAGAAAGTCTGAATACAAGCCATGTCTTTCCACACAAAATAATGAAATCATTATTCGCTTTTAGTAATGAGATGCACTAAAGCAAATTAAATATTTTTCCTACCGCATATTAAAGCTAGGTCACGGGACAGACATTAGATTTCTAGCTTTAAGATACAGATATATATTATAGCTTCATTCTCCAAAGGTAATAGTTTAACAAATCTTTATTAAAGTTGAAGATAAAAAAAAGCTCTAAATGTCTTCAAATTTTAGCACATTGTGGGTTATGGCAAATTTATCTGTAGTTGTAACAAAGACAAAAACTTAAATGAATGCTTAGTTTGATCAACTGACCCTATTATCTATATGATTGAAAAATAATGTGGATGTCTAGCCAAAGGATGTAATAAATCAAACTTCTTAGTGCAGAGAACCTCTTTAGCCAGCACAAATCTAAAACACACTAGTCATTCCTTCCTGTATCAAAAATTAAACTGTATCAGCTGGTTATCCCTGAAATAAAGGAGTGTTAACGGTTTATCACTCCCTGTGGCCAGAGAATACTAATATTGTAAAATGCAAAAATACTAAAGGCAACAACAAAAACACACACTAGGGGGGAAAAGCCCTCACAATAGGTCAGAAGTGACAATCTGGTGGCCTGCAGACACGCTCTGTGCGGCTTACACAACGCTAAAACCGGGACTGGTTGCCAACATGTTAAAAATCTGGCGATTTCACCTAGATTTACAGACGTTTCGAAAAATCAGAAGACCTGGCAACGCGGGCCCTCAGCCTTGCACGCGGACTACAGGAGCCGAGTCAGGGCTGCTTCTGGGAGACCGCACCCATGTTCTCTGCTTTGCCGTGGCCTCCATGGCTTCTGTCCCCTTCCCAACCTGCTTCACTCAATTTCATGATCTGCCTGACTCCTCTAAGCATCTGAGTTTTCAGACTTCGCTCTAAAAAAATCAGACTGAAAGTATTTGGTCTGGTCCGCACCCAGCGGTACTTCCGTTCCATCTCAAGAGTAACTTCCAAGTCTGTTCGTCACTGGTATAATATAAGATATAAATAAAATCGATGAAAACGACCACTACCTAATAACAGAAAGCTTACAAAGCTCGCTCGGGATCAAGGGACTGCCAGTGATACACGCTACATCCATTCCCGTGAACCTGTGAGATTTCTATACCAAAGAAAGCCATGTGTGCCAGCCCTGTGCTGGTGCCCTGGCACCATGGGGCATGGGGAGACTTTTATTTATAATCAGGCCTCTTACATTCACTAGATGGCGAGGATGTTCAAAATCCACATGTGTCCTGGTGAGAGAGCTCGTGTGCCCAGAGCAGAGGCCTCCATTTAAGCTCCCATTCACTCCGTTGGGGACCTTATGGTGGAGGTGGGAGCAGCCGTTGCTGAAGCTTCCATGAACATTTCCATTTACCCGGTTTGTGCCGGGCAGAGTGGTGTATTCCACCATCTGCCCATTAATCTCTGACCCTTGGTAGAGATATCCTGGTGGGTCGTATTCTGTTGAGAGAGTACCAAAAAAGCGAAAAGAAAAAAAAAGTAAGATACTGAAAAGGACAATCTTCCTGCTTAGGAAGTTTTATTAATGAAATCCCTAATAAACGACAAATATACTAAAATAAAACTCTCTGAAAGTGTTCACTGAAATCCTCCTTGTGAGATAGGATTTAATAAAGTTGCGGCTGTTCTTTCCTTGACAGTGTGGAGGCAGCCAGGAGCTATGAGTTAACCATGACTCTTCTAAGGGGAAGAGAAATTAACCAGAGAGAAATTACTCAAAAGAGAATTTAATAAATTGTGCAAGCTGGAGGTATCAAAGCACTGGCAACACTAAGAAACAGTGTTTAAACTCCCCTATGCTTCAAAGCGCTGAAAGAAATTGCGTAAAGCACCAACAAAAGGCTAACTTTAGGTAGGATATTTCAAATAGCAATAAACACCACCTTTAAGTAAAAGGATGGGGCTGGGGGAACATTCACTATTCACATAGCTCCTTGGTTATTACAGCCAAGTTGGAAGTTGTGCGGCACTAAAGGCAAAAGGCTAATTATTCCCTTTCCTTACATTAACAGCATTTCAACAGCTGCCTCAAATACCTGGTTTCCAGAGGCACAGCTACCAGATACATTTAGAAAAAGTGAAATAGCCCTTAGAAAGCACAGTACCTAAATGACACAGGATTTGCTGTCAGAGTTCTGATCAATTCTGCAAAGGTACTGGAGGGGCCAAGCCTGGGCTAGGTGTCTCTCCTCCTATGACAGGTGTGTTAATAGCACAGGTGTGTGGTTCCCAGTGTACCTGCTTCTCTTCTCCACTAAACTGTACGGAGAGGACATTGAAGCTGCACCGTCCACCCCAGTGCAGGGCACACAGAAGACAGCCAGTGAGTATCCTTTGAATGAATGATTGAATGAACATTACCATCGTAAATGTCCACCTTCCAACATATTATCAAGTCTCAAAGGAAAATGACCTTAACCAGATTTATCTTGCTCAGACAACGAAGTCAATACTTTTCTTTTAACAGTTCAGTACATACTCACACAAAGTAACTGACATGAAAGCCATTTAGAAAAAGACCCAGTCAAAGAAAGGCTCTTTCAGCCCAGCACCACCACCACCCACCGCCCCCTCCAACCACTTCTCTGCCTGCCTATCTCCTGGAAGGCATCAGAGCAATAAAAATAAATCCTTTTTCCCCTTGAGCTATTAAGTAAAAAAGGAATGACATGTAGGAACTTGCTGGTAGCTGCTGAAGTGCCTGTCACCGCTGGTGTCTTCCTTTGCTTTTGTTTCACTCCCTTATTCTGGGGCCAAGGAGAAAACCAAAATACTTCCTCCCCGCAGAGACTAAAGTCTCCGACTGATCTGACTGTCCTCTTTTAGAACAGCTGGAGGAAGAGGAGTGGTAGGCAGAGGAGGGGAAGAGAGATGGGGAAGGAAAAGGAAAGGGGTTCTAGGTTATTCCTTTTAATACAGTGCCACACCGACAACGCAAGCGCGCCTGCTACTGGACACATCTCGGGGTGGGGGTGCCACCCTGGAGCGGCTTTGGTACACTCAGCACCCAACCAGGACGGTGTTATCTTCCATGGGTGTCGTCCGGGGACAGGACCTTAGAAAAGTCTTCACTCCCTTCCTTTCCATCACGCCTTTGCCGTTCCTTGTTGACAAGATGTACACCAGTACGAAGGGGTTCTTGCAGCAACTCCAAAGCTCAGGCTTCAAGTACTCATCCTCTTTGGTGGTCTGACAGACCCAGAGTTTCCCAGCACTAAGTCAGCTATTTACTTAGAGACCTGCTTGGTTTTGGCTTTGTTGTTTATTTCTCCTGGGCAATTTAATCTGATGCTCCACTTACTTTGGCTGACAGCTCGAACCGTTTCCAAGTCAACTCCTCTGAATGAAGAGCATCTAATGTGTCCTCCACCGCGACACTGACACAGGAACGTGTCAGGAATCAATATTTATTCTGACAACATTTTTCCACCCATCTTTACAGAAGGACACAGCTGTGAATGACTTACTCTGTATGGTACTCTGCTGGCGGCTCTTCCACAGGCACATGGCAATGAAAGCCATGAGGATCAGCACCATGACACCCAGCACGCAGCCCACGATCAGGTACAACATGTCGCTGCTCCTGGCGGGACTGGTGGCGGGCCCAACATTGCCCCCGTTTCCTGAAGAATTTGGAGGGGTACTCAAGTCTTTGACGGGATACTCAGACGCTCCAGGAACCCGTTTCACTAGTTGAAACACAAAGGAAAACATGATGTCAGAGTGAAGGCAGACTCTACGAGATGGTTTATTCTCCGAAGGAGGTCTGGTTAGGAACGCAAGCCAGTCTGTTTACGCTTGGTACTGGGATGATCTGACCACCAGTGAGTCACAAAGAGGGCTCAAGAGTTTAAAAATCTAATGTGCCAAGCTTTTAGGCCACAAATTCTAGAGAAATCGTAAGATCAGAGAAACATATGCACTTGGTCTAACCTCCAACTGCTGTATGATTATCTGCTCAATTGTACTTGCAGAAGATTCCCAAAGAGTTGAAATAAAAAGTATTTCAACTTACGGATGGGACAAATTTTCAATATCTGACACATTTTTAAAAATTTAATTTATTTTTAATTCTAATGGAGGTACTGGGGTTTGAACCCAGGACCTCACACATGTGAAGCAGACATTTACCCAGAGCTATACCCCCACCCCTCAATATCTGACACATTTTGGACTGAATGAGACTCACAATTACATATTTTATGCCTTTATCATGTGATTAATATTAAAAGATATGACTTCGGACTACTACAACAATTATACACGATTCCAAAAACCTCACACATAATATTAAGCGTTCTAAAGCCAAAAGGTTTTTGGAGTCCACATAAATGCAGTACTTTTATCTAATTCCCTGGTACTCTGGATAATGACAATAACAAAATATAGCAGCAAGTGAGATTCAAATGCCATTTTTTTTTCTGTCCTCAAATAACATGCTCTTAATGCTTTAAGTGTCACGGAAGAGCAAGAGAGCATAATGGTTGACAGCCTGATGTCTAGAACCAGGCTGCCTGGGTTTCCATCCTGCTCCACCACTAATCCTTAGCGCTATGACTTTAACCTCCATGAACCAGCTTCTGCGTGTGGAAACTGGAGATGACAATCACTCCATCATAAGGTTGTAATGAAGAGTAAATGAGCGAGTGGAAAGCTCCTGGCACGGAGCCTGGCCCACGGCACTGTTCAGTCGATTTTGTTATTGCTTTGGTTATCATAACATATTTCCTGTTATGGTTCCTGACAACTTACAGGAGCAGAGTGGTCTTTAAATTTAAAAAATCTACTTCAAGATTGTATTGGGGTTTAATCTTCTAGGAACTTCATCTACCCAGAACAGGGCTGGAAACCAGTGAAGATGGGCCTGTCTTTCAAAGGAAGGAGACTGAAACCTGGGGGAATACCTGGCAGAGACTAAAGGAAATTTCTGCTTTGGGTGGTATGTTGGATTATATGATTCTAAGGCCCCTGCCAATTCCAAAGGCAACAAACAAGTTTCTGAGGCAAAATGGATGTTACAGATCACAGATTAAATACCGTGATTACTCATTGGGAAGTCCTTCAGGCTTATTCACTCTTTATTTACTCTTAATTTATTCTTCATTCTACCAAGCTTGGTGATCGGTTGCCAACCTCTTGCTAAAGCTGAAAACTTTTGCAGTGTATGGTGAGTGAGATGGTCCCACTAACACCAACAAGAAGAGACACCGGGAGCATGAAGTGAGTCAGGTGAAGTGAAGAACAAACAGAATTCAGAGCACTAAAGAAAAATCATGGCCGTCTCTGATCTTTGAGGTGGGGGAAAGTGGCTGGCCTCCAACACCTGTGTCATTCCTTAAAGCCTCACCAAATGACTAAAGATAAGGCCATCTTTGTTGACGACAAGAACCTTGAGTCATTTCTTTAAAAGGCAGAGTCGTGTATCACACATTCTATTTAAACAGGCTGGGGACTGTGTAATACACTTAAGAAAGTCATGCAATATGAACAGTTAACATTTTTTTTTAAGTTTTTTGTTTTTCACTGATCTGAAAGTCTGTAGGTAAAACCTTTCATTCCCCAGCAAAGTCAGTGAATGACGTATACTACAATACTACTAAAAACAACACAGTTAATACAGTGTGGTCTGAGCTTTACGTTCTGCCTGGCTAGATTCTTAGATGTCTTGGGAACACGTGATAAGACATATGACTTAGAATTAAACGATGAAACTGAGTCTCGGCTTTATAATTCAATCTTTCTGAGCCTCTGTGTTTCCACTTCTATTACTCAAATGTAGTATCTCCTATTTTCAGAGATGGTTATATTTCAGAGTTTATGTAGGCAGAGTTGAGAATTTCAATTTAGAATTATCAACTAACTCTGAACTTATCTAGAACACTTAATTAAATAAGCAGGTAGTGTTATATATATATCTGTCATTCAAGAAACCACTTTAAACACATGTAGTGCCTTTCCTTAAAATTCTTATACATTTTTTTAAGTATTCTAATGCTCACAGCAATCTCAGAAATTAGTCAGCAAATAGTTCTATGCCTTCATGGAGGAAAAAGAAGGGAAGTGATTTACAGTCACACAGAAATCAATGAATATGATGAATACTTATGTAAGTTACTTTTCAGACAAGCTTCTCTAGCCCGCATATGGCAGGACTGTTGGGACAGTCTAAACGGACGCACCTGGAAAAATGGTCCAAAACAGAAGCTTCTTCGGGTAAATACATCAACAGTCAGAAGGAACACTCCAGAATTCAGAATTGTAGTTCTGTCTGGGGAAAAAGCACTAATTCTCACCCCCCTCCTACCTTTAGTTTCACAGATCATCACATTACTAAACTCGCTCTCTCCTCCTTCGTTGAAACATTGCATTTTAATATCATAGGACGTTTCTGGCTGCAGGTGGCCGATCATGTGCCACTGCTTCGAACCTAGAAGGAAAAATAAAAGACCATCTTTACATCCCCCGCAGCCTAAACAGCCATATCAATGTCACCACTTACTCATTTCAAAATGAGGTTGGAGCAGCGTCCATCACCACAGGGTCAGTCCCGCGCAATAAAAACTGAAATATTTCAGCAATGCACAACAGGTAAATAGCGTTTCTATCACACGGCATGACAAAAGTGGGAAAGAGAAGAGATAAACTGAATTAAAGCTCTTCCTGTGTGTTGGTGGTCATACTTTGTTTTATTACAAATAGTGGGAAGCCGTTCATAAAATATATGCTAATTATGCATAAGTTAAAAAAACACCCCTCAAGTCCTTTCATTCCCTGCTTCAGCCCAGGAAGTCAATGCACTCTGTCCACCCACCAGAAAGCAATACCACGCATGAGATCAGCAAAGGACGCCTGGCCCAGAACAAGTGACCACTCACAAGATGGGCTTCAGTGAAACTCTCACCTCCACTGTAATAGACATGACATGAACTGACGTAGAAATGAACGGCTGAATTCGAGAATAGTCAAGAAGCACAATCTACTATGGGAAACTCTTGGCTACCGTCCCCCCTACTTCTTTCCTTTTGAATTAGGGTCTCCAACCCACACAAGTATCTCTAACAGAGCGATTCTGTTATCCGTGGCGCGCAGCCAGTATTTCATTTAGAAACACTTCTAAACTGAACCCTCCAGCATAAATCACTCTCCAGTTTTACTTCCATGGACCTATAACAAACTTTAATAAACGGGGACACTTCTGCCAGATTCAATGACCTCTTCAAGCACCTTTAATCCTTCTTAGAGAATACCTCTTCAAACTGTTTCCACGGTTTCTTAGAAACTCAACATACCACCGGCTGATTTAAGAACCAATTAACGGGGGAGGAAAAAACAAAACAAAACAAAACCACACACACAAGTCCAGTCTACTTGGCGGACTGGACCAATAGCTCTGGGATCCTTCCTGACTCAATGCAGACGAAACCATCTCGACCTGGAAGCACGCCCCCTTCAGGGCCACCAATACAAAGTCTCTGATTCATAAAGACCTCTATTTTATAAGGAAGAGAATCTGCTTGTTTCAGGTTCAATGGCCTATGAAAGGCTTAAGAAGTGAGGAATTCTATACCCCCATTTATAAACGAAAAGAGGCCCCTGGAAGAAACTTGACTCAAAATCTAGCTGACACTAGAACAGACCTATTTTTAAATTCCAAAACCTCTTATAAAAGACTTCTGCTTTTTCCTCTACCTTTAGGTCTTCCTGGCCTAGCCTTCTACTCATCTTTCAACATTCAATTGAATAGACACTAAATTTGAAATTTCCTTTCATAGCACTAGTAAAAATGGAATTAAATTAAGCTTCTGACATGTTACCAATAAGAGAAAATAGTTACGGTAATACATATCTTGTTAGATTAATGTTGCATTGTTACGGTAATTATTCTAATAGCTAAAATGACAGGAAATACCAGCAGGGAGAAAGTTTTTACCAGTCATCGATGAATAAGACCTTTAAGTGCCTTATTAGGTTTCAAAGCAACCAGTCAGCATATCCTTTGCTTAACAGGGAGTTTTGTTTTGTTTTTTTGTTGCCTCTGAGAGTATTGTAGAAAAGGTTAAAAAAAACCCAAAGCATTAGACTTACTTAGACATGAGGATGACTGATACTTTGGTTTACTTGGAACTCAGCTTAATTTACAAGATTAAAATGTTCATCAGAAAAACATTGGTGTGTTGGAAACATTTATAGTTTATCTGAATGTGGAACTTAATTCAGATGAGAGGATAACTTGGCATAACTGTTCTTCGCTGAGTGTATTCTTTAACAATGTAATTGTGTTTCAAAGCTTAAACAAGTTTGAGTCAATATACATAAGTAATCTAAAACTTGACTTTAAAGAAAACTTCACGTACAGAGAATAAATACTCTGTTCCTTGGTTTGGGAGAACAAGCCAATGGCTTCCAACTGCCAGAAAAAGAATTTCAAGTGCATAAACTTGAAAATAAGGAATAAGCAAATTACACAGCACAGCGCAGCCCACTTAAACATCTAACTGCTCCGTCTGTTACGTTCATAAACATGCTCTCTGTGAACCACAAGCAAAGCTCACATTTGCAGACGCTACTACTGGCTACAAAAAGTTCTTGAGAGCCACTTCCCAGTCTGACTCTCAACAGCCACGTCACACGAGTTTGTAAAAGTCCAAAGATTAAACTAGAGAGTGCAGTTGAGAAGCTGTTTATCAGTGGCTCTTTCTAGAGAGCAGAACTAGGAAGGGCCTGGGAGAGAGGGAGACAGAGACAGAGAGGGATGGTCATTGGATTGACATCTGCCTCGCTGGGGACTGTTCTCTAACAAAAATGTAGCCTCTCTCAGAATGTATCCTTGCTCACCTAACCCAGCTAAACAAAAAGGAAGACCAAGCCAGGACACAGTGCACTAACAAAGCCACTAACCATTCTTTGCCCTTCTTTCTTTTTTTTTTAATGGCCTTTTTATGAAGTCAGATATGCACATGGAAAACCATCCATTGCTGCATCGCTCCCTGAACGTTCACAAACACAACACAGCCACAGGACCAACACCCGGGCCCAGAAAGAGAGTGTTCCTGGCTCCCCAACGGTCTTGTCACCTCCTCCAGCCACTGCTCCCCCAAGGCAGCTCCTATTTTGATGTCACAGAATCATTTAGTCACTAATGATGATCTTTCCACATCTCCCCAGCTCTTTATGTCTAAAGTGGCTTTTAGGGACTCATGTCTTGCCTACTTTTCCAGGTGAAGAAAAGAGAAATAATCACTCTTTCATTCAAAAAATATTTTTTGAGCACCTACTGTGTGTCAGGTATTGTAACTCAGATGATAAATTTCTCATTATATTACAAAAGTAGTTCCATTGGATAAACATTAAAAGGAATGCTACACTATTTATAGAAACATGATATTGCATATTAAAAGTAATTTATTGGGGGGAGGGTAGAGCTCAGTGGTAGAGTGCCTGCTTAGCATGCACCAGGTCCTGGGTTTAATCCCCAGTACCTCCACCTAAAAAAAATAAATAAATGTAATTACCACCTCCCTAAAAAAATTTTTAAGTAATTTATTATAAGACTACTTATAACAGAAAACTATATGCAGTATTTGATGTCAAAAAGTCATAGGAAAGTAATACAACACTGTAAATCAACTCTACTTCGAAAACCAGAAAAGAAACATGTAAATGAAATTTCAGATAAGGGTAAGTGCTAAGAAGAAAATAAAGCACAGCTGTGGACTGGGTGGGGGACAAACAGAACAAGAAGTCATAGGAAAGGAACCTTGGCCTGGGACAATCCTCTGACATGACCCATTAGGACATTACTATTTCAAAGAACAAAAATCCTGGAGTGAAGAAAAAGGACCGTCCTAAAGCAAGAATCCTTTCCAGGACATCACTGAGAAACAGGCACCCATCTTCTACTGAGCACCCCAAAGTCATGCAGTTTGCTATCTTGTGAGAGAACCCGAGTTAGAAATGTGTCATTAAAGGGTCACACAGCTTCCTTTCAGCTGCCCTCCCCCAACAGGTTGAGCCCCTCTTCCACGTCCCGGAGACCTTGAATACTTGAAAACAGCTGCCTGTTGCTGGTGAGTTCTTTTTCCCAACCTGATCATGCCCAGATATTCCACTGCTCCTTTTGGACTCCAAGCATTCATTCATTCCTTCAATAAATACCAAACACCTCATCTCTGTAGGGGCTGGGCTACAGCCATGAGAAAGAAGGCTCTTTCTTGGTCCACAAGGAGGTTAACATTTAGTGAGGGAGACATGCTTTGAACAAATAATTTCATACACACACACACACACACACACAACTAAACTAGGATAAATCGCATGGAATAAACACAAAGCGTGTGGTTAGAAAGCGTAGCAATGGTATCTCATGTCAATGGGAGGAAGTAACATTCAAGCACACAGCAGAGAAAAGGGGAGCACCTGGGTGCAGCCTTCGGAGGTGGGGGCAGGAAGTGCTCTGTGCCAAGGTCCCGAGGCAAGAAAGATCTTGGTGCATACACACAAGGAGACTGAAAGAAGGCCAGTGTGTGAGGAAGACAGTGAGAAAGGGAGAGTGTATGCCACATGGCGGAGGTGAGGCAGTCCCCACGGGGCCTCAGACCACAGGCAAAGTTCTGGATTTTACTTTCAATGTAGTAAAAAAGGTAGCTTCAACCTTCTTGGCACTCTCAGCTGTTTCTTCCTCTACCCATATTCCAACTTCTCAGCATCTCTAAAAGTGGACCACGTGCTCGAGATGTGATCTTTCTAGCACAGACTTCAATGGAAATGTTGACTGAGACATTCTTTGTTTAAATGTAGCTAGAAGTTGCAATTGATTTTTAAACCCAGGTCACTATGCATTTAAACAAAACAAAAGAAAAATTGTTTGCAGGTGAACCATGGGCACATCATCTCTCCCCCTTTTGTAACTGACTGTTTCTATAACCAAAATATAAGATACTATATATACAGCTGAGCCTTGAACAACGTGAGTTTGACCGTGTGGGTCCACTTATACAGACACCCGACAGTGCACCACACGACCACACGGTGTGTGGTTGGTGGAATCTGCAGACACAGAGGAACCATGGACACTAGCACTAACCTCTGTGTTCTTCCAGGGTCAGCTGTATCAAACTGGAAATATTATCTGTCTTTGGGAAAAATTCAAAGTGACAGTACATATACCATTTCATTTTTGACTCTATTTTAACCTGGGATGATGATTTTCACAAGATTTATAAACCCTCTCCCTCCAAAGCTCCTGAGTTAGGACTCCAGCTTGTCAACGGAACTTACCTTCTACAATATCCCTCTTGTAATCACTGTCATTGTCACTATCTGTTGGCCGGTAATAGATATAAAATCCTTGAATGGGAGTGTTATTGTTACTTGATGGAATGTACTAAAAAATAGAAGCAAAGACTTGTCAAAGACGAAAAGAAATGTAACTTTCACATCCATTAAGATTTTTTATCTCTGTGGCAATACTTTTTTAGTGTCATTTTGCAAACATCCTTGATGGCATTTCTAATTTAATTCAAAGGCATTCAAAGCTATTAAGAGCATTTTAGCTTACAGAGGAGCTAAACAAAAATAAAGCAATACATTTCAGTAGATCTAAAGACATAAAAGTCCATTGGGTTCAAAATGAATAAATCATGAAATGGTAATTAAGTTAACACTTAGATGAGAGCTGAGGAGACAGTCATTTTATTTTTAACCCTACTCCACTTATACATGTGCTTTTACACAAATATCTGTGCCCTCCAATTTCCCCTTACTTAAAGTTCAAAAATTCGCTGTTCATAGCCTCAGGTCACAAGAATGTTAAATTACCATGGCCAAATCAGAAACTCTTCTCATTAGAGAAGATGTTTTACTTACCGTCCACTTCAGCATGATCTGAGTATCACTGACAGCTTCTGTGTACGCGATGTGAGGTCCAGTTATCGGACGGTTGGAAAAACGATTGGGGAACCCAGCCACCTGATAAGGACGTGATGCCGAACTCCGAAAACTCTCACCATAATGGTTGATAGCAATGACCCTAAATTTATATGTTGAACCTTTGGAGGGGGGAAACCAGAATTTTTTAAAAAGCTGTAATAAGACAACTGAAGGTACAATGTTCAAAATATGACAGCGGTACTGAAGGATCTATCTACAATAGCAACCTCTGAAGTCTATATGGTAAATGGATTTCAACCCACTTGTCAGCTCCTATCGACTGGCAGTGGCTGTTCAGTGCATGTGTTCAAGATTCCAAGACCTCACTGGGAGTCACTGGGAGAGACAGATGATGTCTGTCACGGAAGGGGGCAGGGAGAGAACAGAAGAGAGCACCCTGCTCTCTAACCAGCCTGTTCTACAGTCACACCGACAAATACAGGACGAGTTGGTGCATCTGTGGTCACAAGTAGGTTCTTCTCCCTTTGAAAGAAACAACTGAAGCGAAGTTTAATCTGATAAATACATTTATGAAGAGGCTCTGTGTGGGTCAAAGCAGAGTCACTCTGCTTCTACTAATACTAGGATAAGAGGGAGCATTTTTAAACTACAACAGAAGGTATCTGTTTGGATTAGCTATTAAGAATTAAAAAAAAACATTCTAAGGATTGTGAGTTTCTGAACATCTGAATCTAAAGAATAAATCAGACTCCTAAAGCAAGTTTCCTAATAGCTCAAAAATAACCCCTGGACTTCTGAAGACAGTGCCTTCTGTCTGTGGAATGTTACTCAGCTTCGCCCACATTTAAAACTGCCACCTTCTCCCAACTAGACCTGCGTGTTCCTGAACTCATGTTACCTGTTTAGACAGACACAGGCATTTGCTACTAAAGTGCATTTAAAAGTCCATACACAAAACTGGTCATGAAACCTAACAGAAAAAAAAAGTAATGAAGGTTGATTTGTGATCACTGCTTTTCTCTCTTACGGTTTAATTTCTTTCATACAGACTCAAGGTACTGGGGGCTGGGGGAGTTCCCCTGCTGCTGAAAAAAATTTAAGTAACAAAGAAGTGGTAAGTGTTGTCCCAGTCCCTAAAGCTAAGCCCTGGGTCTAACCATGCTGAGATTCAGCGTCAGATCAATTTTAGTCAAATAACAAGCAATTTTCCTCTTAAAATACTCATAGCAAAACACACACACACACACACACACATGCACACAAAGCTGTCAACAACACTGTTCCTGCTTATTTGCAATTAGAAATAATCTAAAGCCCAGAAATAAAAAAATGGGTTAAGTAAATCACAGTGTACTTACATGGTAGAGACAGTCATTAAAAACTGAGTTTTCAAAGAATTATTAATGATATTGGAAAATGCACATGACATAATATAGGGAAAATGGGATCACAAGACAGTATGGCGTGATCCCTATTTGCATTAAAAAGAGAAAAAACAGTGGGGAGGGCACAGCTCAGTGGTAGAGTGAATGCCTAGCACACACAAGGTCCTGGGTTCAGTCCCCAGCACCCTCATCAAAATAAACAAATAAACTAACTACCTCCCCCAAAACAAACAAAAAAAAAAAAAAAAGAAAAGAAAAGTTTAAAAAAAAAAAAAGCGAGAGAGAAAAGGCTAGAAGTAAATACACCAAAATGTAAACAAGGGCTGTCTCTGGATGGATGGGTTTCAGGTGATGATCTCGTCTCTATTTTCAATTTTTTATGTAATAAGCTCAGATTACTTTAACAATTAGAAGCATATAAGATTATTAAAAATATGCACCCAAGCCAGCACTGATGGTTTAAAGGGAAATGTTTGAATATCACTACCTGGCTCTAAGCTGCGAACCTCCACAGAAAGTTTGGAAGGGGGGATATCTTCAGCTGCTACCAGCCAATCACTTGTCCTCATGCGTTTGTACTCGACCTTGAAGGCTGTGATGGGAGACCCCCCATTCGCCCTGGGAATCCAGGTGACGTACACAGAGGTCTCTGACGCCGTGGAGACGGTAGGCCGATCTGGTGCCTCTGGAACTGAAAATGGGAACGTTCGTTTTGATAATCCGTGGTATCAGAGACAATAACTCAAACTGAAAGGGATCAATCCCAAACATGATTGTATTAAATCTTCTTCACCAGACTTCTTGCCAGAGTTACCAATATTTTGACTATCTTCCTGTCCTCTCTGAAAAGATAGTGGGCAATGAAATTGCGAAATACACGAAACAGAAGGAAGGAAAAGGGAGATAATTCATAAATTTGATAATTAGCTTCGAAAAACTGAAAGTTAATAAGCAGGATAATTGTGACTGTCCTATTTTGGATTCATGGCTAAAACAGTGTATAAGTAATTATTATTTGGTGCTACAAGTCTAATTGTGGTTATCATTTATAGCAAATTTTCAAGATTATGTGTTATTTAAATGTTTTTCTTTAATGATCCAAGCTACAGAAAACACATTCAGCAAACAATCTAAAGGTGATGTTACATATTATTAACAGCCATTACTATTGTATCTTATCTTATACCTCAAGAATACAGGAATGCTACTCTGAAAAACAGACAGCAAGCAGTAAAACAGAGATAAAATATGACCAATAAAATCAATACTGACAAAAATGGGAGGAGAGAACGCTGCTCAGGACAAAAGCAGTAAGACAGGAGATGCAGGCAAATAAAGACAAGTGTTGTCGGCAAACAGATGATCCATGAAATTGTAGGGAAAAGGGGTCAGAGAGCTAATGTCTGGTCGTGTTCAGTTAGCCCTGCCAAGGGGAGGGGACATCCTAGTCCACAAATGAGATGGTCTAGATTCTGCAGCAGGTGGAAACAGCAGGAGCAAGTTCAGAGCCATTGAAACCATGTCCCTAACCATTCCTGCTGGCCCAGCAATCTTGTGGCTATAACTGGTTTCCCACTTGAGTAAAGGATGCTGATAGAAGCAATCTGGCCTGCATGACAGTTACATCATGAAGCAGTCAGCTGCCACTCTTTACTTCAGTCACCTGTGAACTGTGTAAGAGTGAGCTGGTTCTCAAGAGACCGACTGTCTTTCGGCTGGCTAACCATCGAGTTTCTAGGGCTGGAACAGGAAGGACCAACTCTGGGCCACAGTTACACTACTTTGGTGAATTACTCAGGGAGCCCCGTCTTTCTCCAGCCCGTGCTGAGCCTCAGGCAACACCCCTCTGTCTCAACACCTCTTCAACCTGAACACAAACACGGAAGAACAAAATAATGTTGCAGATGATACCTGCATGGAGAAAACTGGCATTTTCAAAACAAACTGCTTAATGGATAAAAAAAATAGGAATATAGTCAAAGCAGGCAACTTTGCGTGATACTTACTGTATTCCTTTCAAGTTAGAAAGCAATGGAAACAGAACGAATAGAAGTGTTAGTGAAGCTCTTTCAATGCTAGACAATCAAATAACTTCCTTTGCTGATTCACGCGAGGTTAAAACTCATCAAAGGACACCACAGATCAAACAGAAGAAGAAAGTTATTAGGGGAAAATCTCTACAGAGAAGCCTATTATCAATAGCATGAGACTGTTAAGGAATGAAAGGAAGAACACTGTACTTGGAATTTAAAAAAAATTGAATGTGAACCGTAGCGCCCCCCTTTCCGGATGACCTTAGGCGAGAAGCATAACTTTCTTGAGTCTCAGTTTCCTGATCTGTAAAGTAGTTCTGCTACCTTCCCCACAGGGCTGTTGTGAAGATAAATAAGTCCCTTCTCTATGGTTATGTCTGCTTGGAGAACTCCAAACTCACGATTTCCAGAACCTAATTCCCAGCCCTGACCTAAAAATCCTTATTACCCATCTTTGTAAATAGTCCCCAGTGTCCCCAGCCCAAGTCACTATATTTCTGCCTCTGATTCCACGTGGATTCAACTCCCTTACTCTGTCATCTGTGTCCCCCTTTTCCATGCACACTGTCACTATTTTTATTTTTAAGCCTCACCTTTCTTCACTCCTCCTTTCCCATCTCTCAAATCTTTCAGGCTTCTTTATAGCTTTCAGGGGAAGACTAAACTTCTAAGGACATCATACCAGGCACCCTCCTGTCCTCCTCACAGTAGCATCATTCTGCACAGTCAACCACTAACTAACACCTCTAGTCTCTAAGCCTCTAAATAAAATAGGATGCGTCATTCATCCGTCTCTGCCCAAGGAGGGGCTCTGCCTAGAACCACTTTCCCTGTGTCTTCATCCGGCTCCAACATTCTTGTCTCTGAGGCTTAGCTCAGGGAGCCTCTCATCTCACTGGGCCTCTCTCACAACAAGTCAGTGATTTAGATATTTCTCTCGCGATCCCACCACACCAAGGGTAGAATCCCAGGTATAAGGGATCAGAGTCATTGTCATGGGTTAACCTGCCTGTCTTCCCCACTGTGTTGTTACTGTTTCTTTACCTAGAGCATCCACTACACTGCAAACCTATAGAAGGCAAGGTTTATTTTCTCTCTCCTGCTCCAGCATTTAGTGCAGTGTCTACCACAGGGTGTCAAGGTATAAGGGTTTCGTTTTGCAGACGTCAGTTTTATTCATATCAAGTTGACACTCATATACTTAATCTGCTCAAGGCAGCTGAAGTGGTCCTCAGAGGCGAAAGGACTCGAGCAAAACAGGTCAAGATCCTGAAGAAGCAGAGGGTTGTTCAAATGTTATTACTTGCCTTTGTCTGAGACCAATTCATGGAAGACTATAAAAACAGGAGGAGAAGCTTGAAAATTCTTAGCGCTCAGCAGTGAAATTTTAAGCCTTCCCTAGATGCCCCAACAACTGTGATCACAGTTACAAAGAGCATATTATGTTGTACCGGGTAGAACTGTTAAGTGTGACATTTAAGTGCTAAAGTGGAGTCTTTTGAAAATGTTACTGTGACATCTAAAAACAGTAACACTGACAAGATGCACCAATAAAGCTGAGGATGACATGTAACTGCCCAAGAAACAAACTAAATCTCACTATAGGGACCAGCATACATTTTGACAAGTTACTAAAAAAAAAGACTTTCAGAGTTCAAATATAGAAACTGACACAACATTGTAAACTAACTATACTTCAGTAAAATATATATATATATATAGAAAAAAAG